AGCACATAAGAATCCTTCCACTCTCCATCTCCCTCCCTGTTTCACCTCCAGCTGATGCTACCTTTCTTCATTCCTCGTGGAGGGCAACCCCTCCCCTGCTGCATTTCTTGCCTGTTTGTTGCTGCCAGCACAGGTGGCTGCCACAGAAGTTGTAGATCGGCTCATGGCCGGCCTGCTCAGCCTGCTTGATCTCCTCTCCTCCCCCCCCCCTCCTCCTTCCCCTTCAGTGCAGCTAGAGCTGACTCCACCTCCACCTCCACCCAGGGCTGCCTCTTTTTTTTTCTCTCTCCCTCTCCCACCCAAACTGCCTCCTTTTATAGTCTCTCCTGTCTCCACCCCCCCTCCTCCTTTCTCATGGGGGAGGGTGAGCCAGAAGTGAGCCTGGGGCCTTTGCCTCACCCCAGCCACTCTGTAGCTCCGGAGGACTCTCTCACAGTAAGTCCTTGCCTGCGCTGGCTCTTTCCATCCCCCACTACACTTGGCTAGGCAGGGCTGCGTACCACCTGCCACTCGTTAATGTACCACAAGTGGTACGCGTACCACCGGTTGAAAAGCCCTGTTTTAAACAAAAGGCGCAATTGAGATTTCAAACAAGGAATTTTGTTGCAATTCAAAATCTCTTTCATTCAGCCAACTTCTTCCAAATGAATGCTTAGGAATCTTACAAACGAACTGACTAGCAAGCGGATCTTTGCAGCAGAGCGAGTGCAGAGTTAAATACAATAACTTCCTCCCTTTAATACACACACACATCTTTGGCCTCCTCCCCTTTCCTTCCTGTTTTGTTTCACGCTGCTGAGTTGCAGGCAAAAAAGGGGGGGTCACTGCCCGCTCTGAATGTTAGGCAAAGGCACAGAGGTTTTGAGATGCTTGGCTTATTAGCATTTGAATGCTTTGGATTACAAGCGGGCTAAAAGCAGGCACACACATCTGATCTTTAGAAACACAGTCCTTCCGATTTCATGCAACAGAAAATCAAGTCCTTTTACTTCAGTTAAGCAAGGCATAGAGAATTTTCATACTTTTTTTTACTTTTAGCGAAGAGAGAAACATGCAATACTTCTTTACTGTAAAACGTTGGCTGGCAAACAGAACACTTTCTTAGAGCAGACATAGAGAATAATGTTTTTACTAGCAAGGGTGCAGCTGTTTTCACTTCATCCAAGCAGAACATAGAGAACTCTCATTAACTTGTTACTGTCCTGCCCACGTAGATTGTGTGCTTTACTTTCCACGTGAGACAAGCAGAAGTTACTCAAATGAACAGATCAAAAAGGATTACTTTAATTCAGGGCTTTTCAACCTTTTCACCCATTGTACCACTTTTAGGATATGGCAATATCCGAGTACCACCAGTCGCCTAGCAAGGTGTCAAAAACTTGATCACCAAAAAAAAAAAAGGAAAAAAGTGATGAAGTACAGGTAGTCCTCGACTTACAACAGTTCGCTTAGTGACTGTTCGAAGTTACAACGGCACTGAAAAAAGTGCCCCCAAGCCACAGCCGAGCAAGACACCTGCCTGCCCGCCCGGCAGCGCTCTTCCTCCTGTCCGAGGTTTTCATTGTTGTGAGCATTTCTGTTGAGGATTGGCAGCGGGGGTGGGGTGGGGGGTGTTTGGTTTTTATTCCCCCCGTCTGCTGGGTGGTTGCAGCAGGTTTTGGTCACTTCACATGACCCTGCAACACTGTGACCGTCATAAATATGAATCAGTTGCCAAGCATCTGAATGTAAATCACAAGAGCCTGGAGATGCTGCAACATTCCAGCTGATCGACGCTTCTTCTGCGCTTAGCAGAAGCGCCAGGATCAGTGCCAAGCTCCAGCTGAGCCCTGATAGTCCCGAAGAAGCACTGATCCTGGCGCTTCCGCTGAGCCCTGCCAGCCCTGCAGCTCCAGCCATCTCTCGCTCAGGCTTGTGCGGTGCTGCCACCAGTTCAGCTCATTCCCCTCCCCCGCTACCACTTTTCTAGGATGGTCGCGTACCACCTGCCAGGTGCCAATGTACCACAGGTGGTACCCGTACCACTGGTTGAAAAGCCTTGGTGTAGAGGGTGTTAGAGGTAGGACGCCTCTAACTTGGAATTTGGAAAGGTGAAGTCTTTAATGTGGTTAGCAATTCCACATTATTACAATTTCCCACAATTTAATCTTCAGTTAAAAGAGGATAGCCAAGCTTTTATGACTGGAACTCATGTTTGACATTTTGATACTATATTATGAACATTCCTATAAAAATGATTATGGAAAACTGGGAAGTTGGTTCTTCCTCATCCTTTCTTACAACATTGGTGAAAATACAAATGTGCTTTTCTTAGGAAAAAAAAGATTGTGTTTGAGAATTCAGACTGGCTTCTAGCATGCGAGCTTCAAAAAATATATAGAGAAATGATCAGGCAAGACATGGAGATTTCTGTGGACATACCACATTCATGGATCTACATGGAGTAGAAGTAATCCTTGACTTATGACTGCAATTGAGTCCAAAATTTCTGTTGCTAAGCAAGACAGTTAAGCGAGTTTTGCCCATTTTACAACCTTTCTTGCCATGGTTGTTAAGTGAATCACTGCAGTTGTTAAGTTAGTAACACAATTGTTAAGTGAATCTTGCTTCCCCATTGAGTTTTCTTATCAGAAGATTGCAGAAGGTGATCATATGACTCCAGGACACTGCAACTGTCATAAATATGAACACTACAGTTGCCTGAATTTTGCTCACGTGACCACAGGGATGCAGCAATGGTTGTAAGTATGAAAAACGGTCTAAGTCACTTTTTTCAGTGCTGTTGTAACTTTGAGCGGTCACTAAACAAATGGCTGTTAAGTCAAGGACTATCTGTACTCAGAAGCTAAAACATGCACCAGTTAGTAGCCAGGTCAATATCATTATTTTTTTTTGCAATTGTTCCAACTCAGGTTTTAATTCAGGCTTAGCCACTCATGCTCTGGTCATCTTGCGCTTTGACTACTGCAATCCACTCTACATGGTGCTACCCTTGAAGAGTATTCGGAAGCTATAGCTGGCACAAAATGCAGCAGCGCAAACAGTTTTAGGGGTCCCTAGAGTGGCCCATGTTACACCACTGCTACATGAACTGCATTGGTTGCTGATTTGCTTCCGGTATTGTTCAAGGTGTTAGTCATTACCTTTAAAGCCCCCTGTAGGGCACGGTCCAGGTTATCTGAAAAACAGTCTCACCCTGATGGGATTGGCCCTCCCTACTTAGTTCGGCAGGAGGGGCATGCTCTGCATTCCGTTGGCCAAGGAATTGTAGCTGGTGAGATCCAATGGAAAAGCTGTGGCTCCTGCCCTTTGGCACGTCATGCCACTTGAGGTGAGATCTGTCCTCGCCCTCTTGGCCTTCCAAAGGAACCTGACTTTGCCAACTGGCCTGGGCCCCAATGGGAGGTGGTCTCATTTTAAGGTGGCTAGTGGACTATTAGAAGATCCCAACTCCACCCGGAGTACGCATTTCATTTTATTCACTTTGTTGTTAACTTAGTGTTTTAACTTTGATGCCCAAAGTTTTGCTCTTTTGATGTTTTAATTGCTTATATCGATGTTTATAACCTTGTAAGCCACCCAGAGTTGCATAATAGTGAGATGAGTGGCATATAAATTTAATAATAAATGAATAAATAAGTAATAATTCTGATCATCCCCAGGAGTAGAGGCTAGGCTGCCACCCAAAATTCTGATTTCTCAGTTTTCCCCAACATACTTGTATTCCTCTGTCTTCCAGATGTTTGAACAGCTGTTTATGCATTGCCACCCTGTTGGGAAAGGAAAGAAATAGCAATACAAAAGGTTTAGGTGTAACCACTCTGCTTTATCTATTGTAGAGCCCAGCAGAAAAAGGGAAAACAGCTAAATATGAGAAAAATCATAGTCTCACTTGGGGAGAGAGGGGTTATTTTTCTGATATTTATTGTCTCTAGCAGGGAAACAGCTGGTTTGGGTTATGGGCTTCATTAAGAACCCCCCCTGCTGGGAAAGGAGAGGAGAAGGTGATGAAGGAAAGGAATACTTAGTAAGAACGAAACAATTAAAACCACTCTGTGTCACTCACTTGGTGGTAAATTTTGCCAGTAGTGATCCAAGTCTTCCCTTTTTCACTGGAAAATAAGTCCTAGGATTAAAAACAAAACAAAAAGGTGGCAAAATTAACAAGCTCCTGAGAACTGCTGGTTTCCTGCTGTTCCTCCTCTAAAATATTGGATCCCACACTTTTTCCAAAGAACCCATGAATTACAAAACATACGACAAATGCATCTGGTTGTTGACAGGCAAAACTCTTAGAATAATTTTTACACACCTGCCCTGTTTTTCTTCACAACTAAACTTCTACAGAACATGAAAGAGAACATATGAGGAAGGTTGGCTTAACTTTATCCTGTCCAATTAACTTAGGCGTTAGTCACATTGTAGGGGGAAACCCCCAAGCTGTGAGATCTGATGTAACTGAATGCCTTGTGCATTAAGGTTCTTTGTTAAACTGCACCCAGTTAGATGGATTCAGATTCAAGACAGACACAGAAGCATTGGACCCTGGACAGGTGGTTTTCTTACGTCTCCCTATAAGAGCGGGGGAGATGTTTTATTTGGTAAAAACAAAATGATACACGAGTACTTCCTCTATTCTATTCTATTCTATTCTATTGTTAACCCTATACTATTCCTATGGTAATGACTATTGCAATATATTATTACTCCTCAATTACTGTTACTATTTATACTGTTATTATTCTAAGAGAGCCAGTTTAGCATAGTGGTTAAGGCATTAGGCTCGAAACCAGGAGACTGGGATTTCTAGTCCCGCCTTAGGCACAAAACCAGTTGGGTGACCTTGGGCCAGTCACTTTCTCTCAGCCCTAGGAAGGAGTCTGTGACAAACCACTTCTGAAAAACCTGGCCAAGAAAACCGCAATCTCTGAGAATCAGACAAGATTGAATGAAAAACAAAGGAACATTGTTTTGCTACAATTTCCTATACAGCGTGTCCTCTCTTGATGTGATGGAATGTGTACCTGCAGGAACAAACAGTGGGACTTTTGGCTTTGAGGGTGAAGGTTCGTTCTGTGAGGTTGTGGGCGGGTTCCCAAACGTTTCGTTACCAAGCTAGCTAACCTCTTCAGCGGCATTCAGGGGAAGCTCGGAGAACAAACCTTCACCTTCATATTTTAGACATATTTTAGATATTTAAATGTGATTGATTTTAAGAAAATTACAATGGATTGAAAAAAAATGTTTTGAATAAGAGTTAAAAGACCAGATGACTAGATTTATTAAATGGAATATTTAAAGATTAAATATATTCTTAATTATGGTAAAAAGAATGGAAAAACTTTGGAAATAAATATGTATTAGCTTAGGGGAAACCTGGACTTTCAGTAGTATACTATCTTTTTATCCCTCTTTACTCTTGTTCTTTTTTTCTCTTTTTTAAGTCTTAATTATTCCTTAAGTAAGGTAAACGTTATGGGATGGTTTACATGAGAAAAAATAGAATCAAATATCTAAATGTAATTAACTTTGAGAAAATCTTAACCAGTAAGAATGTCTTGAATATTGTGGGAAAAACAAATGTAAACAAGAACTGTAAACGGGATCTATGATGAGGCAACCAGAATGACTAGATAGAAAAGAAATATTACATTGATGTGATTATTACTTGCGGAAATATTAGAAAAAAATTTATATTCAATTGTTATCTATCAAAACAATAAGAACTGTATTAACTTAAGGTTGGTAAAAGAGAACATTATGAGAAGAAGAGGAAATCAAGTAAAGCTATTATGTGGATTATAGATCATAGAAACCAATTGTTAGCGAATGTTTTTTAAATGTAAACCCAGGCAACACACTGTTTACCGAATATTAAGGTGACCATGTTAAAAAATTAATAAAATATATTATATTAAAAAAAACACCTTCACCCTCATCCTACACCCGAGCCACAGATATTCTCCACTACTATTGCAAAGTTTTGGCTTTCTTAGAAAAATGCTCAGATTAAGAGGCTGCGCCCTCTTTTCTCTCTGGGAAAACTCTGCGTGGTCCAAAGTCTCCTTCTCTGCTGCTCCAGGCACACATTATTCCATCACACTAATGACCATTCATTTGGTGTCTGTTCAAAGTTACGACGGAGTTGGAAAAAAAAGCGTCTCAGGGCTGCCCTTGCACTTACGACCGTCTCACCACCCCCACAGTCAGTCACATGATTGTGATTGGGATGCTTGACAAACATATGACAACCGTCTGTGACCTTCCATCCAGCTTCCGAGATGCAAAGTCAGTGGGGAAGCTGGCAGGGAAGGTCACAAGTTGCAGTCATGTGATGACTTATTTAACAACCACAGGGATTCACTTAATGACCATGACAAAAAAAGGTAGAACTGAGTATTTTCTTGTGAGATCTCACTTAATTACTGCACCACTTAATGATGAACTTTCTGGTTTCTGTGGTCATAAGTTGAGGTCTACCTGTATACAGCAGCTGGCTGGGGAATTCTGGGAGTTGAAGTCCACACGTCTTAAAGTTGCCAAGATTGGGAACCCCTGCTGTATACTGTCCTCGACACTATTACTACTATGCATTAACATTTCTTCCTTAAGCCTGCTCTGTCTTAAGTTGCCTCTGAGATTTCTTCTTTTTTTCCTGTTAAGGGCTGCATGTAGAGCTCTTGCCATTTTTTTTAATATTGTGCTTTGTGTTTCTGCGTTGCTGTACTTCCCTTTTGCACTCTCTGCTCCTGAAGGAAAACACCTTCTTTTGTTTGGCTGCTGTACTAATTGCTGGAGGCTGCAGAGCTGCAAAAGAGCATCTCCTCCATTCTCCTCCCACCGCTGTGTCAAAGGTTGCAGCTTTTATTGGCAACTCTGTTGTGTTGATGCTGGGTAGAAGACTCCGATGGGAGGAGAAGACAACCCGAGACGCCTGCAATTTTGCTAAGCAGCTTATCTTCCACACCTGCCTCCATCATTTTTTTTTCAGAATTCCTTTTAGATATTGGAACATCAAAGAGATTCAAATAATTCCACTTGAAGTCTTGGGAGTTATTTGCTTTTGTGGTTTGTTTTTTGCATTTTAATACTTCCTGCTTCTCAAAGAGTCAGCATTATGCCTTCTAAAAAAAAAATTCCAGTCCTTTCTTGCTATGCTTCACAGCAATTGCCTCTGAAGCAAAAGATCCCATGTAGTTGTCATCCTTCTCTTGATGTTCAGTGAAATGTTTACTGGTTCTAGGAGTGACAAGGGGAGAAGCTGTTTGAGAAGGGGGAAAAGAGTACTGTATTCATATTTCTGGAAGGGATCTTGGAGGTCTTCTAGTCCAACCCCCTGCTCAAGCAGAAGACCTTACACAATTTGAGACAAATGGCTATCCAGTCTCTTTTTAAAAAACTCCAATGATGGAGCACCTACAACTTCTGAAGGCAAGCCGTTCCACTGGTTAATTGTTCTCACTGTTAGGAAGTTTCTCCTTAATTCCAGGTTGCTTCTCTCCTTGATTAGTTTCCATCCACTGTTTCTTGTCTTGCCTTCTGGTGCTTTGGAAAATGGGTTGACCGTTCTTTGTGGCAGCCCCTTAAATACTGGAATACTGCTATCATGTCACCCCTAGTCCTTCTTTTCTTTAGACTAAACAAACTGTTTGTTTGTTTCCCATCTTTATTATTTTTTATAAATAACTGAAGGTCGGGAACATACCAATTACTCTTCCTAATTTTCCCCACAACAATAATCCTGTGAGGTGGGTTGGACTGAGAGAGATTGACTTTCCCAAAATCACCCAGCTGGCTTTCATTCCTAAAGCGGGACTAGAACTCATCGTCTCCTAGTGATTGGCTCAAAGTCATCCAGCCAGCTTTTATGCCTAAGGCAGGACTAGAACTCACAGCCTCCTGGCAATTAGTCCAAAGTCATCCAGTTGGCTTTCATGCCTGGTGCCTTAACTACTAGACCATGCTGGCTCAGGAATTCTGGGAGTTGAAGTCCACGAGTCATAAAAGAGCCAAGGTTGCCTACCCCTGTGTAACTAGACCATTAATGGCTCATGAATACATGCTCCATGGTCACTGATTGACATATAGCTCAGGGTAGCATATAAAATGGCAACTGGCAAAAGAATAAAATATAATCAAATAGAGGCAGCTTTGTTAGATCGCGCAGGCAGTAAGACACGAGTCGAGTGACAGTCAGCTCTCGGTTTATTGGCAAGGCATCAAGTAAATCCGGACTGGCTCTCTGGGCCAGGGGAGCCCTCTTTTATGGGATTCCCCTGGCTTGTAATCACACAATTCCATTGGCTGGCAAGACCCTGTTGCTAGTTAGCCAACCAGCAACGGGCAT